GAATAAGCTGCACCAAAAACAAAATCTCCCTTCCATGCCAGGCAATCATTAACTGCATTTGCCAATTGTATCTGTTAGATGGCATTTAAACAATCCTCAAGGGCGTACTGGGAGCTATCCCTGGGTTCGCAAAACTGAATGGTGGAGGAATATAGTGACAGGTCCGGTATTGAAAAAACGCTCGACTCTTTTGAAACGTCCACTTAGCGCGAAAATCCCATCTCTACCATTTCTTTGCATTGCTGCTTTGTCATTAAAAAGCCTCGCCTGCCCTTTGTTTCTTAAGCAGGCCTTCTTCTCTAGTCCAACTAGCATCTTTCCTAGCCTGATAACCGGTTATCCTCCAGATCACCTGTATCCTTAAGCCCAAGGGTAGGAAACCATTTCATTGACTACGACTTTTGGTTACAGGGGGGACTCCCTGGCATTAATTTTTGCCCTCCAAGCTTCTCAGTGGCCCTTCAAGGATTTGCAGTCCGCAAGGTCTATGTCCACCCCTAGTGCTTTAGTGTTCCAAAAAGTCCTCCCAGAGTCGGACTTGGGCTTCTTGACCTGCATATCAATCACCTTGATAAGATGTCGCGGGCCTCTTCTACCTTCCATACACTGTCCATCCTAGAGGCAGGTTCTCTGGGCGACAATACCCGGTTCAAAACTCAGCTCTTCACCTGGCAAAGCAAATGTTGCGTAAAGTCACACCAATCAGAATATCTATTGGTCCCACCCATCGTCGTTTTCAGTTTGTTGCCAGGCTTCATCTTGAAAATAGTCGCTCCATTTCCTCTTGATCGTCGACCTCCTCCTTACATCGTTTGATGTGTCCTATTTTTCCAAAGCTGAACAATGCGCGTGCGTCATGCTGTCTTCACCTTCGCAGCGTTTAGCTCATAGCCCGCAAGTTCATTAACACGGGGCGGGCCGGGGCGCGTGGCGGGAAAAAAGTTTTTTTGGGGGTAGTTTTTTTTGAAATCTTTTGGGGGGGGGAAACAAAACGATAAAAAAAAAAAATAAAAAAAAACCACCCTTTTTGTTTTTGTTTTTTTTTTTTTTTGTTTCTTCTTCTTTTTTTGTTCTTTTTCCCCGCCCCCCCCCCCCCAGATGTTTTCCCCACCCCCCCCCCCCGGCCCGCCCCGCGATCAGAGGCACAAAGCGAGACCCCCCCCCCTTTTTGTTCTTTTCTCCGCTCCTCCCCCCGTTCTATTTGTTTCTTTTTTAATCAGATAGGCGGCCCCCCCCAAGCCTAGGACCCGCTTCTGACCCTTCAAGTTCAGCTTTCTTGCAAAAATCTTTACTGATCAAAGAAGTTCCCTGGGGAACCTTTATCAAGCACAGACGCTGGACACTTCCCCTTTCTACCTTTCGTCAAAGACACCTCAAACATTCAAGATGCTAACATAAGGGCGTCCTTATTCTTCCGCCATGTTGAGATTTCCCTATTTTGCCCAACTCCTTTCCTCACGGTGGGCAGGACGCTGGTGTGGTGGAATTCCTTAACATTGCCCCGTTCGCTGTGCATTCACCCACAAGCCTTTCCTGTCTTAGGAACAGGTGGGACTCCCTGTGCCCTCGCCCAAGCTACCTTTAGGACAAGCCGTAACAGGCATAGCTGTCATAAGCAACATGTTCCTCCTTTCAGGCGGCGAAGGGCATTTCTCGTAACAGAGTTGCACTGGTTCCCGTCCAGTTGCTCGATTGTTGCTTGGCAAATCCATACATTTTTTGGAGGCTTTGGGGATACGGCCTTTGGTGAACGCAAGCCTGGTTTACAAGCATCTTATTCATATTGGCCTACGGCGGATCTCATTCTCTGGGCACGGTTTACTTAACCTGCGCTTTCTCAAGCGGGCTTCTTACTGACACCGAGCATCTCGAAGACTGGATCTTCAAAAAACCTGCATCAGCCAGGCCCCGCTTGATGAATCTAACTAAATCCAGCCAGTCTGGCAACTCGCGAAAAATCTTCTCTTCGCAAACATGCACTTTGAAAGCTTGCGGCTTTTGCCAGATTTGCCGAAAGACTCGCGAACCTCTTTCTTTAATCCTTTTGATTTTCTTGTTCTCATCTATTTTGAAGAAACTTAGGCCAACTTAGGACACAATCTGCCTCAGACTTGGGCCTGGTTATCGAATTTCTCGCATTCAAAATAAGCCTAAAGCTACCAGTGACTGCAGGGACATGTCTTAACAAGTCTCGGCAGCGGTATCCGCCGTCAGAAGTTAGTTACGGCTTACCAGCTTTCCCTATTCTATGGACCTGCTGAATTCCAGGCCTGGGGCTAACAACCCCCCCCAACAATTAACTACCAAAATCTGATTTCAGTGCACCAAAGCAAAGGCTGCGTTCTTCCTCAGGAGGCTTCATGACCACAGAACTCAAATGGCATCCCGTGCGCATTACCCTTACATGAGAGAGATATTAGGTTATTTGAGAACTTAATACTGTTCATTTCGGGGATATTCGCAACCATTTGGCTCTGAAAATGACATGATGAAAGCAATGGTAACTTCAAAAGGATTCCCGTTCAAACTATTCGTAATCTGCGCCTTGGGTAAGGGATAAAGGGCCTGAAGAACAAAGGTACCCCACTCGTTACACCCGTTAGTTACCGCTCGCTACCAGATGCATTCTCATTGGAATTCAGTCAGTCACCAGCATCTGGTCATTATTTACTATCATTATTCAACCTTAATACGATTCTTGCTTTTGTGCTGCTGAACCTTTTCCTTCACTTTCAAGGTAACGATTCCTTTAAACGTCAGCGATCACTCTCTCTTCGTCTTCTTCCTGTTTCCTCAGCAAACCAAGCTGGAGTACTTCTTCCTTGAGCTTCCATGAGCTTGTTCCACTCTGTCTTCATCTTCGCCCTCCAGAGCTCCCTGAAGAAAGCCCATGGCCTTGAATTCTCCTGTCATCGCTGTCTCACACTTCCGAGGAATCGCCTACACAGCTCCGGCGAAACCCGCGTCTCAACCTCTGCGCCTGCTCCATGTATAGTAGTTTTCCCGCTCTTTCCCCTGCCCGACCAACAAAATCTGAATTGCTGCGGGAAAAAGGCATGATGGATTCTTGACTACCAAGAGTCGGACGATAGCGCAAGAAGAAGTCTGACCTTTTGATTGAGATGCTTGTAATTAACAGACCAACCGTATCAACGGTAGCTAGTTAGGCGATATGTGCGGTGAGGTGTGCTGCGAGGAGAGTAGGGGGGATGGCGGCAGGTGTGAGGGAGAGGGTGGAAGCGAGGTGTGGTAGGGAGAGTGGGGTGGGGGGTCTCCGTGGTGTGAGGGTGGTATATGGATGGAGGTGGCGTGTGGGGTGCGGTGGGAGGCGGGAGCGGAGGAGGTGGGTGGGGCGTGGCATAGTGGGGTGGCTCGATGAGGCGGATAGGGCGGGAGGCGGGGAAGTGGAATGGGTTGATGGAGCCGTGTATCGGAAATTATGCAAAGTGGGGTGTTGGCTAATTATGCCTGAACATGTGGGTCGAGGTATGTGAGTGGTCTGAGAGCGTGAGTGTGGTCCCGATCTCTTAAGGAGCCGCGCAGTCGCTGAGACAGAACAAAGCCCTTACAACCTTTATATTCCTTCCACATCATCGCAACAAAACGCCGATTACGCCCCCAAGACACCAAGAAACCTTGCTTTTCCCTTTGTTCTAAAACAAAAGCACCGCTTGTTGTTATTAAATACCAACAAGGCAACGGGCCCTTCTATCGGAGAAAATGCCTAATAAAATCTCAAACTTGCTATCCATAGAGGATTGTTACCACATATCATACATACATACCATACATACATTCCATACATAACATACATACATACATACATACATTACATTACATAAATACATTTACATACATTACATACATACATACATACATTTACATACATACATTACATACAACATACATAATACATACATAACATACAACATAACATTACTACATACATACAATACATACATACATACATACATACAATACATACATACATTACATACATACATTACATACATACATACAATACATACAACATTTCATACATTATAATAGCATTATTATACAATATTAGCATACATATTATAGATCCTTGTATGCTACGTTATACATGCGTGCCCGGCGTGCATGGTAAATGTGGTGTTGTGTGTTGGATGCTGTGTTGTGTTGTGCTGGTGTGTGGTGTGTGTTGTTGCGGGCGTGCAATTGCATTGCTTACCAGGGGAGTCTATAATAGATATTATAGAATCCCTTGATGGTACGTACATGCTCGTGCGGGCATGCGTACTGTGTGTGTTGGCTGTTGTGTGTGTGTGTGCGTGTGTGTGTGTGTGTATGTGTGTTTGTTTATGCGTACGTGCATGCGTATGTGCGTGCGTGCACGCATAACGGTGTGGGTGTGTGTGTGTGTGTGTGTGTGTGTGTTTGTGCGTGCGTGCGTGCATGCGTACCAGGGAGTCTATCTCTGATGCGCACGTACATGCGTGCGTGCACGCGTAACTGTGTGTGTTTGTTCGTGCGTGCGTGCATGCGTACGTGCGTGCGTGCACGCGTAACTGTGTGTGTGTGTTTGTTTGTGCGTGCGTGCATGCGTACGTGCGTGCGTGCACGCGTAACTGTGTATTGGTTTTTGTGCGTGCGCGCGCGCGTGTGTGTTTGTGCGTGCATGCGTGCGTGCGTGCTCGTGCATGAGGCCTATGGAATGACAGTTGTGACACCTAGCGGCATTAAAAATCAAATTTATTTTTTAATTAACTACGTACGCTAGTACGAACGCTAGATTCTCCAATCGTGTTCCTTTTCGTGCAATTACAATTACGGGTATATGACGTCACGGCCTATGTAGAGTCTAGTTACATGGGGTTGCAGGATAGTAGCGTGTATGTTTAATCTTTATATAATGATTATATTGATAATATTTTTGTGAAAAAATTGTAGTATAATTATTATATATTTTGCATTAAAATTCAATAAGAGTTGAGTAAGAGTAAGAGTAAAAGTAAGAGTTGGTCTTTTATCCACAATGCATTGTTTATTTCATATATAGCAGTCACCTGTCAAAAGTGCTCACTCTATTATAACAAAACTTTCATTTTCTATAAACTAGAAATAAAAAAACCTCTGTTATAAATTTATACACTGAAATAAGAAATATCCGTCATCACTAAAATGCATTGTCAACCCAAAACAGACTCCCGAGAAGGTTGTGAGATGACTGCCAAGTTAATACTTTGCAAACCAAAAAATCATTTTAAATCAACATTGCTAACAGTGGTTTTAATTAGGTAGCAGTCTTTAAAATAAATAGATTATTAGTACCGAAACACAATGTGGCCGTACAACAAATACTTTAGTTGCTGAATGATCATGTTCCAGCACACTTCCATTCAGTGCAGGATTTGTGCCACCACTGCTTACAGGTGGGGTGCATTCCAGCCAATCTGTCACTTTCTGTCCTCGTTTTTTTCTTCCATTGCATGGACAATCTATAAAATTAGAAAAAATATTGGCAGAGCAAATAAATATGAAATGGTGCAACGTTTAAACTATCCTGATACAAAATTAGTATACAATATAGTTTGTGAAGATGTTATATAGTTTTGATTAACAATTTTTATTTATTTATTTAATTAATTACCAAATATCTGGTCTCGCTGACACTGTCGGGGATCTGCAGCTTCTGAAACCATAGAAATATAGTCATTGGAAGTTATTGGAATATATCTATGACGTGTATATATACATATGTAAATTACACTACTGAAAACAAAAATCGAAATCAAATCTATAGCTTATAAAACTCCCACTCCAAGGGGGGGGGGCTACGATTGTTTATAAGTCGCTTGGCGCTCACTATCGGAACGTACCCTGGGTACGGTTCGATATATTGGAACGTACCCTGGTAACTATCTGATATGGTTAGGGTTAGGGTTAGGGTTAGGGTTAGGGAGTAGGCGTAGGCGACTACTTAGACTCATTATGATTAGTGGAGTAGGCGAGGTACGGTCCGGCATATTAGATAGTACCATGGTACGTTCCGATATATCGAACTGTACTATCGGAGGGTACCCTGGGTACCCTGGGGGACATAAACCCTCTCAGCATTAGTATTGTCACTATTGCTCATAGGGTCTATGTCCCCAAGGGTACTGCCGGAATACCGGAACGTATCCTGGTAACTATCTGATATGGTTAGGGTTAGGCTTAGAGTTAGGATTAGGGTTTGGGTTATGAAAGTAGGGCTTATTTAGGCAGTCTATGTTTCCCAGGGGTACATACGGAAAAGTACCCTGGTAACTATCTAGCTGATGATATGGCAATTAGCGTAAATGATCTAAAGCTGATTTATGGGAATGAGACGTTTTTCCAAACGGTTAAAAAATCAATATGACATTCGGTTAAACCTAAGTGCTCGGGTGCGCATCGCCGAGCTGTCCCCCTTACTCTCGTCTCTCTCTGCTTTGCTGCTACTCTCTCGACTACCTCTTATCGTACTCTCTCCTCTGCTCCTAGCTAATACGGACGTGCTTTGCAAGCTTACACGGCTGACTTATATGGTGTGTTAAAACTTGCAGAACAATTATTATTATTTTTACTGTATCAATTCAACACATGAATATATTACCTAAAATCTTTTCTTCTAAATCATTTATTTTTAAAAACAGTTATACTCCGATCTTGTTTGTTACAAACTAACCCAGTTCCGATACTTTTAACTCTCTCCTCCGTCC